ATTCGTATCGTACGGCGGGTTGTTGACGTGTCCGGGGAGGTCCGGGGCGTGACAATTAAGTTGGTATCAGAGCCTTAGTCCATAAACTTCATAACGAAGTCTCAAAATTCTCTTTTTGAAAAGATTTTGAAAACCATGAGCATAGGAGTTTTGTACTTGGAGAGCTTTTGGTACTTGGGTTGCAAGGTCTCTAATTGTTAAGATGGTACCCTTAGCAATTGGTATGGCGGTGACTCGAGCCAAAATGTGTCTTAAGTACATATCCGTCAATTGACATTTGATACGAGTCTAACGACTCTTTCCAAATTTCTTTCAGAAATGGACCGTGGTGGCAAGGTAACTAGGAGGAACCCTTTGGGCCGTGCACCCGAGGAGACTGGGCAAGGCAGTCGTAGGACCTCTAGGGCATCTAGAGGAGCGGGCCGTGGAGGCCAATCACGGACCGTGAGTGACGGTCATGTGAGCACCGAAAGTGACAGCTACTGGTCCTATGAGGACTCGACCTATCGGCCGGAAACAGAGCCGGTTGAAACCCCTTATGAAGGGGATGATGATGATGTAAGTGATGAGGAGGACAACGGCTCCTTAGCGCGGATTGAGGCACTACTCCAACAATATCACCGTGAGCGTGAAGAGAGGAGGGAACGCCGAAGGCGCCGGGCTGGGCAACCTTCGGGCATGGCTTCACGAGGAGGAAGTCATGGTGCATCTAGAGTCCATGTGGAACCACGTGGGGGCCAAAATGATGGAGGTCCAACCATAAGGATCTCCAAATACATCAAAGAAGCAAGAGATTTGGGGTGCAAACCCTTTGATGGAGCAGGGGACATTTCAGTGGCAGCACAATGGATCAAGAGGCTAAATGAAGCGGCCCTTGACATGCAAATCGCGCCGAATCTCAAACTGAGAATTGCGGTAAGATTGCTCGAGGGGATGGCATCCAAGTGGTGGGATGGAACCAAGAACAAGTACGGTGAGACCGTCGTTTGGGAGGACTTCCAACGGGAGTTCTTTGCCCAATACTATTCTGATTTCGAGGTGAATAAGAAGGTGAGGGAATACACCCTCCTAACCCAAGGGGGTAACATGTCAGTGAAGGAGCTTGAGTACAAGTTCCGGGATCTCGCCGACTACATACCGGAGTATGCTTGTGACGAGAACCGCATGGTGAACCACTTTTGGGACGCTCTTGACTTGGAGATACGTGATAGGGCAACGCAATTGCCTAATATGACTTTCGCCCAAGTGGTTGAACAAGCATTGAAAGGGGAGAAACAGTGGGAGGAACGGAAGAAGAGAGACGCCGAGGAGGCGAAAAAGAGAAAATGGGAGAGTCATGGCTCCCAAGGTTCCAACAAAAAGGGGAACCATGGAGGAGGATCTTTCCGGGCACCACCGCCACCGTCTAGGGGGAACCAAGGCCCGAGTGGGCAAGGCTCGAGGTCACAAACCTCGGTGGTAACTCGTTGCAACAATTGCAAGAAGAACCACTCCGGTAAATGTCGCGACCCCCCTAGATGCTTTCAATGTGGGGATGCCGGGCATTTGAAGGCACATTGTCCACAACTGGGCGGGGCAAGGACATCGGGACCAAGCAGTGGCCCGACGGGTACACGGAGTCAGACCGGGGCCTCTCAAGCAAGCAGAGGACAAGGGGGAGCAAGCGCGAGTAACGCGCCGTCCGTGAATCAAGGAAGGACGCAAGCTAGAGTCTACGCAATGACCGAGGCTGATGCTCGGGCTAATCCCGACTCCGTCGCAGGTAATACACTTATTCGGGTCATTTCTAGGCTTATTTTGATCATATACGTCGTTGGGATTGAGTACGGGCCACCCCGGGGTCAAACTGGGTGAGTTAGGCCGAATCGGGCTGGAAACAGCCACTGCTGGCCAGGCACGCCCGAAGGCACGCCGTGCCTGGAATCGTGCCTGGAAGGCAGTGGCACCCGAAGGAAAGAAAAAAAAAAAAAATTTTTTTGGGGCCAGGCACGGCCGCAGGCACGCCGTGCCTGGCGTCGTGCCTGGGAGGCAGTAGCGCCCAGGGCTTTTTCCCAAGCCGGGCACGACCGTGCCTACCCCAGGCACGCCGTGCCTGGCACCCAGATTGCCGAAACCTGATTTTTTCGCACCGTTTTGCGACGTTAAGGCCTCTTCTTGGTCTCTAACGTGCGTGTGAACATTGCAACCTTCTATAAATGAGTAGGGAGGATAGGAAAGATGTCTTACATGGTTCATGAATGTAGGGACACTAAAGATTAACGGGAAGGATGCACGAATCCTTATCGATACCGGAGCGCAACGTTCATTCGTGAGTGAGGCGTTTGCCGAGAGCTTAGAGATGCAATCAATACCAATGACACAAACCTTAGTGGTATCAACCCCACTAGGGGAAGACGTTGAAAGAAACAATTACTATCCATCTTGTATGGTGGAAATCGGTGGCCAAACCTTGACGTGTGATTTCGTACCGCTGAGTATGATGGAGTTCGATGCAATCCTAGGGATGGATTGGCTAGAAAAGCATCATGCTAGGGTAGATTGCTACACAAAGGTGTTGGAACTCGAAGGCACACATGGGGACACCCTACGCTTCGAGGGGGACCGCGGCAAATCAAATAGTTGTATCATATCCGCCGTGAGAGCGAGAAATATGATGAGGAAGGGATGCCACGCATATCTAGCATACGTGGTTGACAAAACCAAAGAGGGAATGAACATCGATGATGTGAGGGTGGTTTGTAAGTATCCGGATGTCTTCCCTAAAGACCTACCGGGGCTTCCACCTGACAGGGAGATTGAATTTGTGATCGAGGTCGAGCCTGGTACCAAACCAATCTCCATACCGCCATACCGGATGGCACCCGCTGAACTTAACGAGTTGAAAACCCAATTGCAAGAGCTTTTGGATAACGGTTTCATTAGACCAAGCCACTCCCCGTGGGGAGCACCGGTTCTTTTTGTGAAAAAGAAAGATGGGACACTTCGAATGTGCATTGACTATCGTCAACTGAACAAGGTCACAATCAAGAATAGGTATCCGTTGCCTAGGATTGATGACTTGTTTGATCAACTACGAGGAGCAACCGTGTTTTCGAAGATTGACTTAAGGTCGGGGTACCATCAATTGAAGATTAAGGAAGATGACATACCAAAGAGTGCTTTCCGCACAAGGTATGGGCATTTTGAGTTCCTTGTTATGTCGTTTGGGTTAACAAACGCCCCGGCGGCATTCATGGACTTGATGAACCGAGTATTTCATAAATACTTGGATCGATTCGTGATTGTGTTCATAGATGACATCTTGATTTACTCAAAGAGTGAAGAAGAGCATGAGGAGCACTTGATACTTGTTCTTGAAACACTACGGGAGAAGCAACTCTATGCCAAATTTTCTAAATGTGAATTTTGGCTAAAGGAGATTGGCTTCCTCGGGCACGTGGTTTCGGGATCGGGGATTGCTGTTGATAACAAGAAGATAGAAGCCATCACTGAATGGGAGAGGCCAAAGAACGTCAAGGAAATTCGTAGTTTCCTTGGATTGGCAGGCTACTATAGAAAGTTCGTGGAAAAGTTCTCTGTTTTGGCATCGCCATTGACGAAGCTCACTCGTAAAGGAGCTAAGTTTGTATGGGATGACAAATGTGAGAAAGGGTTCATGGAACTAAAGAAGAGATTGACTGAGGCACCGGTACTTGCATTACCCAAACAAGGTGTGGGGTACGATGTCTATAGCGATGCGAGCATCCAAGGGCTCGGATGTGTACTGATGCAGAATGGGAGGGTAATCGCCTATGCTTCACGACAATTGAAGAAGCATGAGGTGAATTATCCTACTCATGATTTGGAGCTCGGGGCAGTGGTATTTGCACTGAAGATATGGAGACATTATCTCTACGGGGAGACATGTCACATATACACTGATCACAAGAGCTTGAAGTACGTGTTTACTCAGAAAGAGCTAAACATGAGACAGAGACGGTGGATGGAGCTGATAAAAGACTACCATCTGGTGATAGAGTATCACCCAGGCAAGGCAAACGTGGTGGCAGATGCTTTGAGCCGGAAGAGCTCGTCTGGGGCATTGATAACTAATTTGAGGGCATTAAGAGCCCAACTGGAGGTAACCAGCGATGGTGCCTTATTGGCACGATTTGAGGTGAGACCCACTTTACTTGATGAGATCAAGAAGGGTCAGGAAGCCGACGAAGAACTTATGAAGGTCCGGGAACGCATGCAAGCGGGGCCGGTGGAGGATTTCAGGGAAAGAGATGATGGTCTCTTGTTATTTCGTGACCGAGTGTGTGTACCGTCAGATGATGAGCTCCGAAAGTCCATCTTAGAGGAGGCTCATTCATCGGCTTATGCCATGCACCCGGGGGGCACGAAAATGTACCGTGAATTGAAGGAAAGTTACTGGTGGTCTGGAATGAAGAGGGAAATAGCCGAGTACATCAGTCGGTGCCTTACTTGTCAACAAGTTAAGGCAGAACATCAGCACCCAGCAGGCTTATTGCAACCACTCTCCATCCCTGAATGGAAGTGGGAGCACGTGACTATGGATTTCGTGGTAGGCTTACCACGGACTATCAGGAACTATGACGCGGTTTGGGTCGTTGTGGATAGGCTCACAAAGAGTGCACACTTCTTGCCTATCAACACTACCTACCCACTTGAGAGGTTAGCCAAATTGTATACGGATGAGATCGTGAGGCTGCATGGGGTCCCGGTGACCATTGTATCTGATAGAGACCCACGATTCACATCACGTTTTTGGCCGAAATTCCAGGAGTCTATGGGAACGAAGTTGAAGTTCAGCACTGCTTTCCATCCACAGACGGATGGGCAGTCTGAAAGGGTTATTCAGATCCTAGAAGACATGCTGAGGGCTTGTGCATTGGAGTTCCAGGGAAGTTGGGACAACCACTTAGCACTTGTGGAGTTTGCCTATAACAACAGTTATCAGGCAAGCATCGGCATGCCTCCATACGAGGCATTGTATGGGAGGAGGTGCCGTACACCGTTATGCTGGGACGAGGTTGGCATGGCCAAACTCGAGGGTACTGAGTTGGTTGAGGTCACCAAATCAAAGGTGAAGTTGATTCGAGAGAGACTCAAGGCGGCTCAGGATAGACAAAAGAGTTATGCAGATAAGCGTCGAAGAACCTTAGAGTTTAAGGTTGATGACGAGGTATTCTTGAAAGTTTCTCCTTGGAAAGGGATCATTCGGTTCCAAACCCGAGGAAAACTTAACCCACGATATATAGGTCCATTCAGAATTATAGAGAGGATTGGGGCCGTTGCATATCGTCTACAGTTGACTCCTGAGTTAGAGAAGATACATAATGTGTTTCATGTATCCATGCTTAAGAAGTATGTGCATGATCCCTCTCACGTACTAGAGAAGCCACCTGTAGAGGTACGTGAGGATTTGAACTACGCTGTTCAACCTATCAAAGTCACCGATAGAAAGGTGAAGAAGCTGAGGAGCAAAGAAGTCCCAATGGTTAAAGTCCGGTGGAAGAGCGATCGGGTCGAGGAAGAGACATGGGAAACGGAGGCTTTGATGAGGAAGCAGTATGCTTTCCTATTCGAGTAGAGCTGTGAATTTCGGGGACGAAATTCCTGTTAAGGGGGGGTGAACTTGTGACACCGCACCCGAACGTCCTTGAAAATTCGATTTAAAATTCAAAAGTGATGTATTGAATTTCCAATTGCAAAACAATGGGAGAAACGATTAATATTTTACGAAGTACATGATTGAATATTGTATTGTTCAAACCCGCATTCTTTTGTAATTTTCATCGTGTAAATTATTGGGATGAGCCTACACATATTGGAGATCAATAATGTGATTTAGGAAGTTGACTTTTTCTAAATAAATTAGGATGAGTACAAAAAGACATCTTTGACAAAGATAAAACAATAGGACCCATCTTCCCATTTTTGGAAGTATTGGTAGATATTTTGGACCCCAAATTTAATGGGATCAATTGGGAACCACTCCACATGGTATTAGTACCTGCAAAACAAATAAAAATGGGTTAGGAGACTTACCTTGGCCGGCCATTATGGAGAAGAGCTGCACATGACTTGATAAGAATCAAAGTTTGGGGCCACCACTCTTATTTTCGCACAAATTGGTGTGCTGTTTGTCTCCTCTCATTATAGGAGCTATCCTCAACCAAATAACGTGTATGAGGTGTCCTTGGATAGCCTTTGAAGTCTATTATCTCAATTGAGTGGTCTTTGTTCGAGGAGAGAAGGATTATCTTGCAAAAATCGAGCTGGAACGAGCAAAGGTCTGTGAACTCGAGCTGTGAGAGTGCTGAGACTGTTTGGTCGATATCTCGAAGTTTTACAAGTCCAATTAAGGCGTGTGAGATACCCACAGAAAGCTCTCAAGACGAGGAATCCGTGAAGGTCTGGTTTGCAGGAATCGGAGTTGTGGAAGGCTTCCAAATCGTCCGAGCAAAACACAACCTCGCAGGAGAGGATTTAATCTTCTAAAGTGAGTTTTAACCCCAAAGCTTTACTTTTCATTCTCCAAATGATATGAACGATTGGTGAGACTATTATACACTAATCCAAGTGTATAATATGTCCCTAAAAAGTTATCTTATTGATGTAAAGGTTAGATACTAACCTAGATGCAAATATTGGAAAACTAGGAATCGAGTTAGCCGGAAAACACCCGTTCTAGGGGCTGTTTTCATATCAACGATTAAGGGTTGAACTAGCACTTTGAGGAGGCTGTTTAACACTCATATTTGAGCAAGGAATCAGTCCCAAATCCACCTTGACCAAAGATTTGACCATTGGACCAAGAAGGGAAAGTTTAAAGCTCAATTGAGGTGAGGATTGACATCTAATTGCTTACAACTTGTAGGTTAAGCATGAGATTACCTAAATGCTTAAATCATGATTTTTCATGGATTATGATGATTATATATTGATGAAATATTGATATAGTTGCCAAAGAATGAAATTTGAAATGATTTGAGAAGGTATGAATAATATGAGATTAAATGAGTATAAAAGAACCATTTTGTGAAAATGGGTATTTTACTCATGTATGAATTATGTGGATACATAAATGAATATTTGTGTATTGAGATTAAATACTTAAGTTGCTGCTACATAATTATAAATATGTAGAGAATTACAAATAATGAGGATAATGGTATGATAACAATAATCTTAATAGTATTGAAATACTAGTTAGTGATTATTGGGACTTGTTGATTAAATTGATCCTAGGGATTGGATTGTATGAAAGGTGCTTGAATATAGTTCAAGTGTATATAATAACTTAGTATGGAACTAAGGTTAAGTTATGGGAAGTCCTTAAGGATGACCCATGGTAGTTTAATGATATGTCAATTCTAGGCATAGGGATTGCTTGAGAATTGGACCTTAATGCATGGTGATGTGATAGAGCCGAGCTCTAGAATGCATGTAAGGGTAGACTTGGAGTCTATGTATTGTATAGCTAGAGCCGAGCTCTAGGACTTGCGTGGTGATGTGGTAGAGCCGAGCTCTAGAACGCAAGGTAAGGAAATTGACCCGAGGTATATGAATTGTATGGTGATGTGGTAGAGCCGAGCTCTAGAATACAATGTCATGTACTAGGGTTGGACTCTAGGAGTTGTCGTGGCTTATAGCCACGGGGTTGGGAATGGTGATTTCCAAATGAAAACGGGCCCACGGGCCGACTACTTGACTTTTATATAAAGTAAGTATATTTTTAAACGGGGTAACTTAGGGTTACAATCATAATGTACTATCACCCTACTTGAGGGTCTTGTGTTTGAAATACTTGTTGTATATCTATTAGATGCCTGCCACACCAGTACTTTATAGCCGTATAGAGTACTGACCCCTTCGGGGGCGTCCCACCACCATTTCAGGTTGAGGCTAGAGCTTGTTTCCTGTGCTCGTTGATCGAGTGATTCCTTGGAGAGAAGACTTGGTTCGTGCTTCCTCCATTCTGTTTTTAAATAATATTAAACTTGCTCATGGATATTTTACTTTAGAGCCTGCGTGCTCATGTTTGCCCTGTGTGGCCCTTTTGTTTTAAACAATGTTTTCCGCTGCGTATTCAATTGTTTATTATGTATGTTTATGGATGACTTATGTGTGAATGATATTCATGACGCCTTGTATAATATGAATGTGTTGGACTGCGGTTGACTATTCGTATCGTACGGCGGGTTGTTGACGTGTCCGGGGAGGTCCGGGGCGTGACAGTACTTCTCTTTCTTAAACCAATCAAGGACAAAGTTTTCAGGAGGGATCCGTAACCAGTTGCAACAAGAGATGACATGTGGACATGGAATACCGGTTAAATCCCACTTCCGGCATGTACACGTCCTCTCATTCAGATTCACACAAAACATGTCTAAACGATGCATAACTTGAAACTCAAATTCACTGGCAGCCAAACAAATGCATTTTCTTGCTTTTTCCTTTTCCATCTCTAGGCATTTCCTCACTCTAGGACAGATATCATCGTGTCTAGAGATCATAATAGATCTATTCTGATGTATCCTTTGCATAACCTGCAACCTTATTTCTTCAAGCATGTGTATAAGCAGTTTGGATCTTGCTTCAATAATATATCCATTAAATGTCTCTGCCATATTACTCACAATCACATCACTTTTGCTCACAGTTTGCATATAGGATCTACAAAATGTGGTCGGATTCTGGGAAATGAAGTCCTCAACAGCCTTGGCACTAACACCTTTCATTTCCTCAAGTGCACTGTCAAAGTCAGCTCTAGCATATGCTCTAACAGCCTTCCAATACAAGCTCCTGAGTTGCTCCCCCTTATGCTTCTTCAACCAATTTGCAAATATATGCCTAGCACAATTCCTATGCTCTGCGGCTGGAAAGTGCTCTCTAACAGCATTACAAAGCCTTTTTTGTTTATCAGAACAAATTGTAGAGTTCTCATTACCAAATCTGGGCAAATCACGTTTTAAAATATCCAAGAACCAACTCCAAGAATCATTGTTTTCCGCCTCCACCACTGCCCAAGAGACCGGGTACATTTGATTGTTTCCGTCTCTTCCCACAGCACATAGCAACATCCCACCCAAAAATGTCTTTAGGAAGCATCCATCTAAACATAGCACAAATCTGCATCCAGTTACAAACCCGTCTCTCAATCCCGGAAAGCTAACATAAAGTCTCTTAAATATATCTGGTTCTCTAGGAATATCGGGCTTATCAATGACGAGTACTGAAGTCAAAGTAGGGTCAACTCTCTTCATCTCCCCCAAGTATGAAGCAAGTTTACTATAGTGTTCTTTTAAAGTCCCATGTAACATCTCGTGAGCTCGTTTCCTCACATTATAGCAAGCAAATCTCTGAATACGCACACCAAATCTCTCCATCACCGATTGTTGTAGAGATTTCCTAGGCCAATTAGGATTTTTTCTATACTCCTCCAAATACTCTTCAGCTAACCAAGTAGGCTTAGCTTGTATATTCTCATAATCTTGCCTATTGCACGTGTGGTTAGGATTCAAAGACTTCACAACAAATGACTCTTTAAGTCCATCCCAAGAAGCGTATATTCTCCAAACACAACCCTCCTTACATTTGGCTGCGACCTTCACCTTTTCACTTTTACTAAGCCTAATGCTATACCCTGCAATCACAGCATACCTCACTAGTTGTTTTTTGAAAATTTCAGGTGAACAAAACTTCATGCCCACTTTCCATACTAACATTTTGAGTGTAGCATCATTATCAACTTTGTATATAACACTCTCCTTCTTCACACTGCTCTCACCTTCTTCATCACTTCCAGTTGGTGTCAGCAAATAATTTTCAGAATTATCACTATCATAAAATGGCTCAAATCCATTGAATTGATTTTCAGCAACTATATTCAAATTGTAACAACTTAGCTTTTTTCTACTACCAATCCATTCCTCGTCACTGGAAGAACCACCACTATAAATATCCTCTCTTTGAAAATTTTCGGACTCATTCTCTTCAGCCCCTTCTCCTTCTTCAATAAAATGGCTCACTTCCATGTTACACCACAATTATAACTCAAATCTATCAACCACAAGTTTAAAAGTAATCACAGTAGATCAGCTTACTTTCAAATGCGACTGTCAGGTAGCAAACTTGTTCTTTTAGCTCGCTTTGTCATCGTCTTCTCTATCGTCTGCGAGCTAAAGTGGCGTTCTTTTGGGAAAATAGGTTTTGAAGTTTCTCTCCAGCCTTTCCCTAATTAGGAGCGTGGCTCTTAATATTTTTCCCCAAATAGAAAAGTTATGGCTTATGTGGAATAAAAATTCCAGCTAGATGTTTCTTTTTCTGATAAACATGACATCGGGTAGGACTATCTCAACTTAAACATTGTGGGGGTATTAATTTAACATGGACAAGTATAGGGTGGGCACCTCACACTTATGATAAGTTGGGGGTATTTTATTTATTTTCTCCTTATTTTATTTATTTCCATTTACTTTGACAGATATATTTTATCTGGTTTATTTTTACTTTTATTTTATTTTTATTTTTTTTTTCGGTGCCACATAAGTGTTTAATTCTATTGCATGTAGTGTGCGTATATTTTTATACACTGATAGGCTCGTTCCGTTCCTATCTTTTCACCCATTTTGGGTGTTAATTGTCTACTTTGTATAATTAATCGGGTGACTATTGGGGGTTTTGAATGAAAATTTGTTATTTTTCGGTCTCGGTGGCATTCATTTTCAGTTTAGTATTTTTGTACACAATTTGACATTTTTGGAGTAATTTGAGTGTAAAGTTACATATTATTAGCGGGTGTGGTGAGTTGTTATTGTACAGGCCGAGTTTGCGGTGAATATGTTTGGACCAGATCATTTGCGGGTTACTTTAGAAGTTATTAAGTGAAGCCCAAAAAGAAAAAAAACTGCAGCACCGACTAGCAGCCCAAAAAGAGAAAAAGATGAGCCGAGTTTTAATCCCGAGAAAAGGAGCCGCAGGAGGAACTTCCATTCCATTCATTCTTAATGTTCGTCACTTAGCCGCAGTAGCATAGCTTTTCCATTCTTAGTTCGTAGTCAGTCAGCAGCACCAGTGGATATTCTCCTCTAAGCACTTGGACGCAGCAGCAAACCAGAAGACAACAGTAGATTTTCTTCTCTTTATTTAGTAGCAATTAGCCGCAGCAGTAATCCATAACCAAGGAACTTCACTTTGCTTTCAATTTCTTCTAATCTAAGTTAGATTCTCAGCAAGTATTGTAAGTTTAGTTATTTACAGCATTAGTTCTTCAATTTTGACTGAATTTCGAATTTCTTTGTTTCCAATTAGCAATTTCAGATTTTCCCATCAATTACTCATAATTCACTTTTTATTTCTAGATGCTTATCATGTTTATCAATGTTATTGCAATGTTGGTTTTAAGTATGAGTAGCTAATTCCATAAAGGGTTTGAATTGGGGCTAGGGTTCATGGGTTCTTGAGGTGTGGATTTAGTTTTTGAAATTCAATTAATCTTCTGGAAAATTTGTATAAGATTAATCATAATTGTCTATATGAATTTGATCACCTCATATATGAATTTCTGGATTTAATTCAATTCTTGTCTATGAGAAATTGAGTTAAATTAGCTCAGGTCTTATACAAGCAATCTGATCTTAGAAATAAGTTAGGATTGTGAAAATTTGATTTAATTCTTGTCTATGAGAATTTATTTCATTTTCTTTCCAGGAACAATTGAAAATTAATTTACTTAATTCTAATCCCGAAAGAACACCCAGAACCCGAACCATCCAATTTGAACCCTGTTTTAATATCCTGAATCAATTTAATTTAATTTTTTTCTCTATTTAATTTTGCACTCACTATTAGTTAGTTTTATTTTTAAACCACTCAAAAAATATTTATTCGGAAAGATTACCATGACTTGTGCTAGCCTGTGATCACGGACTGTATTTAAAACTTCCTTTTTGCCACTCCTTGAGAGACGATACTCGTGGTCTGGTTATTCTTCGGATTAGCCAACTACGTTTTACTCACTAAAAAAATACACCGATCAAATGGCGCCGTTGCCGGGGAGTGGCACTGTTGTTTGTTAAGTACTTTTCTGTGGAATAGGTAAAAGCAAGTCGGTGAGACTTTCTATTTTTTTTCTGTTATTTGTTTGTCGTTTTTGGTGTTCTTTGCACGTGAACTAAGCTGCAGGAACCAGTGTATGCGCACTCGCTCCTCGGGGGAACAAGATTTAATTGCAGGTTATTCTGATCCTGAGCGCTTATTCTGAGGACGAGCTAAAAGGAGATTGCTAGAACACTTGGACAAGATGGCTGATCAGACAACTCTGGAGACGTTGACGCCTAATTATGTGGCGAGAAATAGCATTGGTGCACCCACCATTGAGGCCAACAATTTTGAAATCAAGCCGGCCATGATTCAGATGCTTGCTAATAATCCATTCTGTGGATACGCCCATGAAGATCCAATGGAGCATATTGAGAGCTTTATTCAGACTTGTGCCACGTTCAAATATAATGGAGTGTCCAGCGAAGCAGTCAGGTTGACTTTATTCCCGTTCTCGTTGAAAGACAAAGCTTCACGGTGGCTCCGTAGCTTTCCAAACGGGCATTTTGATACATGGGAGAAGCTTCATCAGGCATTTATGCAGGAGTATTTTCCTCCCTCTGCCGCTATCAAAGTTCAGACAGAAATCCTTAATTTCACTCAAGCTCCGACCGAATCTTTCAGTGAAGCATGGGATAGGCTGAAGACGTTAAAAAGAAAGTGCCCTGAAACATTCATGAATGCAGCCACAATTATGTGCAGATTTTATAATGGTCTTCGGTTGGAGTATATGAGAGAACTCGATCGGGCATCTCAAGGGGGTATGTTTCTGAAATTATCCCCACAGGCAGAAGAGCAGATAATTGAGAACCTGGCCTCAAATGATAAGTATTGGTATGCGGGTAAAGAGAGAGCTCAAAATCCACCCGGTTTGCTTAATCTGGACCCCATCACTGCACTCACCGCGAAGATAGAAGGACTGGTTGTGGACGTGAAAGACTTGAAGGCACAGACTTCTCAACAGGAGCAGGTCCATAATATTGGAGCATATCAACCCTCTTATCCTATGTATTCTGCCCCACTCCCTGTTCGAGCAAGCTATCCAAGCCCAACCGGCCAAGAACTCGCTTTATCTTGCGAGATGTGCATGGGAGCTCACCTCACTCACACATGTCCTCTTTATGCTCAGAATCAGGCATCACCAGTGGTCCAGAACGTCAATTTCATGGAATATGGTCAAGGCCAGAGAGGAGGTGGACAATTTTTCAACAATCAAGGTCAGAGGGGAAACTTTCAGCAAGGAGGAGGCTCGTGGAGGCCTAAAAATCAGAATCAAGTGCAGCAGAATGCCCCCAATTACCAAGCAAATTTCCAGAATAGGGGCAATTCAAATCAGCCCGCTTATATCCCGCCTCATCAAAGACAACTTGAGCAGCCTCCTGTAAATGTAGCGTTAGAGAAAACAGTGGCTGAATTAGCCAAAAACCAAGCGGAGATGCACCAGCGTTTTAGCAACCTTGAAGCTCTTATCCGCCATCTTGGCTCAAGTGCTTCAAGGGAACCGGGCAGCCTTCCGAGTTCAACAGAACCCAATCCAAGGGAGCAAGTGCAGGCAGTTACACTACGCAGCGGGAGAACCCTTAAAGAAGATGATATTCTGCCAGTACCTCAACAAAAAGAGGACCAGCAACCTCAAGGCTCGGATTCCCAGAAGGTTGAAGAAGAACGAGTGGATGCTCCCTGTTCAGCCAAGAGTGAAGAAGCTCAGAAGAAAGAGGAGAGTAAGAAGACTCCACCCCTTCCATTCCCTACACGGGTAAAGAAGAGCAACGATAACACAAACTTGATTAGATTTATGGAGCATCTGAAGCAGCTCCATATCAATATGCCATTCATGGAGGCTTTGACAGAGATGCCGAGGTATGCAAAATTTATGAAGGACCTCCTCACGAAAAAGAGGAGGTGGGAAGAGCCAGAAGTTGTGGATCTCAATGCAGAATGTTCAGCAGTTGTTCTGAAGACCATGCCTCCGAAACAAAAAGATCCAGGGAGTTTTCTTGTACCTTGTTCTATTGAAAACTTTAAGTTTAATAATGCTTTAGCTGATTTAGGAGCGAGCATCAATTTGATGCCTTCCTCTGTGGTCATGAAACTTGGCTTGGGTGTACTTAAGCCCACTCGTATGAGCCTCCAGCTAGCGGACCGATCAGTGAAATACCCGAAAGGAATTCTAGAGGATGTATTAGTACGGGTGGAAAAGTTCATATTCCCTGTTGATTTTGTTGTCATGGACATGGAGGAAGATCGTGAGACTCCACTTATTTTAGGGAGGCCCTTTCTGGCTACTGCTAGGGCCCTTGTTGATGTTGCTGATGGTTCACTTTCTCTGAGAGTTGGGGACGATGTGTGTACATTTAAACTCTCAGATGTGATGAGTAAGGCCTCAGACTCCGCTGAATCATGCCATTATCTTGACATGTTTGAGTCAGTGGAGGGGTATTTATTTGGAGGCGATAGTGATATTACCCCACCCGTTAGTGAGACTCATTATGTGGGGGATGTAGTCGCTGAAAATGAAGAAGAAATGACTGTTGATTGCGAGCAGGTGATTAGGGATGATGTTTTCCCTGAGTTGCTTACTGAGTTTGAGGAGCAGCCCACTGATAAGGTTACTCCTGAACTCAAACCGCTCCTTAGTCACCTGGAGTATGCATTTTTGGACACAGAAGGCCAACAAATTGTCATCATTTCAGCTCAGTTAGAGTCGGGACAGAAGGAAAAATTGTTGGATGTCCTTAGGTGCCACGAACAGGTCATTGCTCGTAAGCTTGAGGATCTTCGTGGGATTAGCCCAACCTTCTGTACCCACAAAATTAAGTGTGAGGAGGGGTATAAACCAGTTGTTCAACCGCAACGACGCTTACTCCCTCAGAAGGGAATTTGGATTTCTTTGGACGACCAGGAGGTCTCTTCAAAAAAATTGGAGACTTGCACACAATGTTAAAGACACTTTCTGGAATTGACCATGACTTTTGATCTCGTATTGGATGCATGGTACTACTCCATGTAGACAGCTACGCATCACAAGAATAATACAGAATTAACCGCAGGGATTCAGAATTCATTTGTTAGCACCAAACTGAAATCCAGTTATCAAAGCTAGGTCTTATTTCTTCATTCTAACCACTCTCTTGCCTATTTGAAGCTCAATTTCAGTCTTAATAATATTTTCTTCCAAAGGTGTAACATTATTTCCCTTCAGCATCCATATCAGTTGTACATTTATCCATTTCATATTTCCTACATCTAACATGTCCCCAAAACGATCTCCCTAAATTCTTTTAATTCTTCTTTAGTCATTACACTCCTAATACTCTCCACAACCTTGATTAGATTGTAGAAATAATTAAGTCTCAGGTCGTATTTTCCCTCTACAATTTCCGAGTTACAGAAACACTTGTATGCCTATTACCCTACATAATTACGGGTAAGCATTTTATGTCACAACATTAGCTACTTCAAATGAATTAAATTCAACAAAGCTGGACAGTAAGTCAATGTAATGTATAACGCCTCAATTGAGCACCATTTTATGCCCAATTCAGGTTTCAATTAGTACAACATAAACAACTGCTGCCCTGAGAATACACCTTAAGCTTTATTTAAACAAATTAAAATATATTAAGTTAGTTTGAACACAACAAACACCCCCCTTTATTGTAATGGCAAAGGCTTATATAGTAATCTCATAAGCTCATAGTCATCAACAACCACATATGCGACCAATTCAGTCACAAGTTCTAGGATTAGACATATAGTCAATTGTCCGTAAATAAGTGCAATGACTCGCTAATCTCAAATTGGGCAACTTAAAGTCTATAATGACCGAATTGATATTCTTGTTGCCCACCTCAATAAACTCCTGCCTCCTGCTAATAAAAAAACAAAACACAGCCCACATTTCGGGGTGAAACAGCCATTGTTTGTCTGAAAAGAACCAAACATGAACCATAAGTAAAAACTAGAAATATTTTGCATGTGTTGACGTAAAAAGTCAAAGAGCTTAGATATGGAATACTATCTGACAATCACATTAACCTTATTCAGTGACTCGACGCAATTAGAGGTAAGCACACTAAATCTTCGTGGACCAGCCATACACCTAGCCCATTTGTGACTCCCAATCTTATCTAATCACGGACGAATCCTGACATTATCAGAATCTAACATAGCTAGATATTCTTCATATTCAGAAACAGTGGGAGCCATATAAGTAGCCTTAAACTTCCACCCAAGCCCATCACCAGAATCTCTGAGTTTATGAATAAGATTATGTCTAAGGTGTTTCACACAGAAACCATGAATAGCATATGGAAATATATAAGTCATGATGGAATTTAATAGTATCATGCAACTTCATCAAAAACCCATTTCCAAAACAGGCAAAGGAACAATGTGCCTATTTGCATATTGACCACACATTGTTAGCAACGTTCCTTTGTAGTAAGCTTTCATAAATGACCCATCCACGATTAGCATAGGTCTACAAAACTTCCAAGAATCAGTCCATGGTGCAAGAGAGAGAGAAACGAATGAAACGTGTCATCACCACCTCTAATAAGACTTATTGAAGATTTAGGGTTTGAACTGTCAAGAATCTGAGCCATTTGTTAAATGTTTGTATGAATCTGCATCTGAGCCAAACTGTTTTTCCATAGAGGTTCTTTGCGCTTCCCAAGCTTTCTTATATGACATTGAAGTTCCAAATTGCAAAGCCATATCAGTTTGTAATTGTTTGGGGTTATAGGAGTTTTTTGAAGCATCTAGATATTTGTACGCAACCATATTTGCAATGATATCTGTTGTAGCTTGCATGTGATAACCTTGTCCGTAATCAACAGAGCAAGGATGTTCAAGATGAATCCTGGAATGCATCACAAAGAATACTGACATCAAACAAACATGGCCCTTGAACTAAACTTATGGCAATAAATGACAAATATATAAGGGCAAAGTAATTAAATTCGTGAATACCTTCTAATCTGAAACATATTGACTCCAGATAACCTAACTATGCGCACAGTCCATTTGCACTTGTCATCCTTACATATAACATGAAGGCAATTTTTCTTTGGTTTATGGGTTTCATATTGAAAACTGTTATTGATCGCATACATTTTCAAGTGGTGGATAAAAGAAAGCTTGTCTTTATTGATGGCAAGACGAATCAGGCAAGTATGATGATGATGTGTAAAGACCTCAACATTATGGTGAAGAGAATAACTTTTAGAGGAAGACAATTTTGAACTCACAAAAAAAGATAGCAACTGAGGTTTCTGGAACATCAGAAAACTCAGATGATGAAACATCATCATGTGGTTCAAGGTTGTGCACGTCCTCATGATCTGAAACATGAATACCAGCTTTAGTACAAGGTTCAGAAAAGGAAGAAGAAGCATTTGAATTATTACAATGAGGAACTGAGTTGTGAAGGAGCAAGGAAGCATCAACAACTTCATTATTAACAAACTCAATACAAAGAGGAAACTTCTCAAAATCAGTTTGAAGAACTTTGAGATGAAGATAGAATTTGAACGTGTCTTCATCATGAATACGAACTGACGGTGGACAACCATCAACAATATAAGAAATTATAAAAGAATGGTCTGGTTTGTACATATGTAAAATTTCACTCATACTTTGTATAAAAAGACACATATGATGCATTTGAACGAATTTGAATACCACACACATCCCTATGTGTAAAAGTGCAACTAGACAACCATATACCATTCAGATTATATGATTGCCAAAAAAATTAAAGAGTAATATATAACCATGTGTGTAACAACAAATAATTCAAAAACAGTTTACAAAATAAAACACATAAGATGGCATTAATGGTAAAAGTCATGGCAATATTTACTACTAGCAGTCTAGCATATATGTAACATAATAGTGAAACTGTAACTAAAAATAGAAATACTAAACCACAATGAGCATACTGCAAAACCGAATTATTTGTTTAATTAGAGTCCATAAACAAAAGAGTATAAATGAGAAAAAGAGAGAAATTGCAGAGACTAAAAATTGGGCAAATACTTTTATCATATTTAGTACTTATGATAGAAACGTGTGACCCCCTACCTGAACAAAAAAATAACTACAAGTATTAGATATGGGAATAGTTTCGTCGAATAACATATAATTGATCATGGAATTATGATGGACCGATATCTTGCGGTTAGACATGATGTTGACATGGTCAATACATTTTCTTTGAAAAGTGATATTGATAATTTTTTGCTAAGTATGAATAATGTTTGTCCAAAGTTAGAGGTCAAAGATATGACAAGACTTCTAATATGTGGAATGAACTTAATGGGTTGATGATTTTTATCATCGTTCTAAAGATCGAACTAGTTGGACCGATTAATCGGCATCTTGGCGCCTGGCGACCCTAAAACAAGAGGATTAATCGGTATAGTTGGCCAAAAAAAATCTACCTAGTCACTCGTCTAGTCGACGTTTAGGCGCTAGGCTCCCCTCAACTGCTTGACTAGTGCCTAGCGAGTTTTCAAAATGATTGTTATCTCAAATAAAAATCATACATGAAAATGTATGGTGTTGGACCGACAGACTCTTTGATTTTCATACTGCGATATGATAAAAGAATGTTATCAAAAAGCATATTATATACTAGCTCCGTCCTACTAATATTCGAACATGAGGGGGTGGTGCGTTTCTTAATAAAAGTGAACTCATGTGGTTGATATTTAATTGATAAAGTAATCACAAAGTACGAGTGATTTAGAATTACACAAATTTTATAAAATTTGGTATAGGAAAATTTTAGTGGAAAGACCCTGTGAAACAAATTTTAAGTTTTTACCTAAAAATGATCGCAAAAATATTATATGACAATATTGGGTTCATCTCTAAATATGAATCCTCTGATTCTTCAATTGCAATTTGAAATAAATATAATTAAAAAACTTTCTTTATTCCTACAAATATTTGAACATTCTTCACATCTTCAAATCTTCGTTCTTGAGACCTTCGAATATTTGCATCTTCGAATCTTCGAATCCTCGTTTTTCAAATCTTCAAATCTTCAAAACTACATCCTCTATATCTTCAAATCTTTAAAGTTTTGTTCTTTGAATCTTCGAATGTTTTTGAATGCAGAATTCAGCTTGAAGTGCCTCCGATTTGCAAGTAGCTTAATCTTCAACAAAATGACTGTTTTATGGCTGCATCTTCTATTTAAGGGCCTCCCGGGATATATGGTTTGATCTTCAATTGAATCTTGATTCATTCTTCATATGAATATCTTCACAGATTCGTTCTTCATATCTTCGAATCTTCAAAGCCTTGTTCTTCATATCTTCGAAATTTCAAGCTTCGTTTTTCAGATCTTCAAACGTCCTTCAACTTATGGACTTATTTTATCAAAAATGAACGCAATCACAAAGGATTATTCATATATTGTGACACCGCACCCGAACGTCCTTGAAAATTCAATTTAAAATTTAAAATTTATGTATTGAATTTCTGATTTCCAAACAATTGTAAAACGATTAATGTTTTACGTAGTGCATGATTGAATATCGTACTGTTCAAACTCGTATATTAGTGTCGGGTTTTGCAAATACTTATTCGGGACTTATTAATAAATAAAAGAGCCCAACATTATCTAAATAGTGATACATAATCTTTCAAGACAATTTGAGGAAGGACGGGCGGCCCAACCATTATTTCGGGCCCAATCTGCTAAAAATAGCAAGTATTTGAGAATGGCGTCCTAGACCCACTCGGGAGTGACCCACACGGCTAGTAGCCCAATAATATGAATGACAAATGTCAAAATAAGTGATAGAATGATTAGAGAAGAATACAAATGCCTATAGCCCCATCTTTGGCATTATTGAGCTAAATAATGGGAGTATGATTTTCCTTCTATGATATCCATCAAGTAAATTATTGAGATGAGTCTACACATATTGGAGATCAATAATGTGATGTAGGAAGTTGACTTGTTCTAAATAAATTAGGATGAGTACAAAAAGACATCTTTGACAAGAGATAAAACAATAGGACCCATCTTCCCATTTTTGGAAGTATTGGTAGATATTTTGGACCCCAAATTGAATGGGATCATTTGGAGACCATCTCACATGGCTTGAGTACCTGAAAGACAAAGGAAATGAGGGTTATTGACTTCATGGGGCGGACTTTGGCTCACCTACTCAAAACAACTTAAAGAGAAAACAAAAACAAAGGAGGTCCACCCCATATTTGTTCACAAGCCAAATATCTTCCCATGCCCTCTTGTAAGCCACATGATTTATCATTTTTGTGAGAGCTATTAGTCACCTCCACAACCCCCATTCGAACTCCCAAGATAAGAGAGAAGGAGAGAGCCACATACTCCAAGGGAGAGGTGAAGAGAGAAGTTGGCCGCAGGATTCGTTTTCCAGTAGATAGGGTTACTTGTTTGATCCATAACTTGCGCTTAACTCGTACAAATAAGGCGTATGATATACCAAAAGAAAGTTCTCAAGACGAGGAATCCGTGAAGGTCTGGTTTGCAGAAATCGGAGTAGTGGAAGGCTTCCAAATCGTCCGAGCAAAACACAACCTCGCAGGAGAGGATTTAATCTTCTAAAGTGAGTTTTAACCCCAAAACTTTACTTTTCATTTTCCAAATGATATGAACGATTGGTGGGACTATTATACACTAATTCAAGTGTATAATATGTCCTTATAAAGTTATTTTATGTGTGTAAAGGTTGGATACTAACCTAGAGCAAATCTTGGAAACTAGGAAACGAGTTAGCCGGAAAACACCCGTTCTAGGGGCTGTTTTCGTATCAACGATTAGGGGTTGAACTAGCACTTTGAGGGGGCTGTTTAACACTCATTTCTAAGCAAGGAATCAGTTCTCAAGCTCCCTTGGCCGAGGCTTTGGTCATTGGATCGAGAAGGAAAGTTTTAAAGCTCATTTGAGGTGAGGATTGACATCTAATTGCTTACAACTTGTAGGTTAAGCATGAGATTACCTAAATGCCTAAATCATAATTTTTATGGATTATGATGATTATATGATGATGAAATATGGATATGGTTGCCAAAGAATGAAATTGGAAATGAGTTGAGAATGTATGAATAAAATGAGGTTAAATGAGTTATAAATGAACTATTTTGTGAAATAGGCATTATACTCATGTATGAATTATGTGGATACATAAATGAATGTTTATGTATTGAGATTGAACACTTAAGTTGCTGCTACATAATTATAAATATGTAGAGGATTACAAATAATGAGCATATTTGTATGATAACAATAATCTTAATAGTATTGAAATACTAGTTAGTGATTATTGGAAATTATTGATGGAATTGATCCTAGGGATTGGATTGTATGAAATGCACTTGAATATACTTCAAGTGTATATGGTGACTTAGTACGAAACTAAGGTTAAGTGGTGGGAAGTCTTTAAGGATGACCCATGGTAGTTTATTGATATGTCAATTCTAGGCATAGGGTTGCTTAAGAATTGGACCTTCATGCATGGTGATGTGATAGAGTGATTAGTGTTTTCTCGCACTTAAAAATGGTTGTAGAAAAGTGGTGTAAAGTACGAGTATCGTCTCCACAGGGACGGACAAAAGGGAAATAAAGATTAACTAAACTTTAGCGATTAAAAAGAAATAAATAAAATAAAAGTGCAATTGTGCGAGATTGGTTGATTGATTAAACTAAAACTAATGCTAATAAGCGAATAAAAAGATTTGGTTTTCCTTAATTAACGACTAAGGGAACAGGAATTGATTCCGGGGTTAACCAGATTTCTGGCAGAACAGGCCTAATCACATGAATTTAATTTAATTGAGCCTAGCTAATCATAACTAAGTTCTTACCGCTCTCGCGGCGTAGAGTACAATAATTTAGGGGACCAGGCTGATCTCTCATGCGACAGGATCCTAAATTATTGCCAAGACGAGCGAGCTTACGGCCCCTTAATCGCTACTAATCTCTTAGCGAACGATTAAGTGTGTGTGAATGTGTCCTAGAACAAATTAGATCTCTCTTAATTCATTCTACATGCAATTGTAATTCTAGCTGCAGTCTAGGTTACAAGAGATCAATTAAATTATTCAAACACAAATTAAACGGCATTCATGCAATTAAACCGAAAAGAATCTAGCCATCAATCATGATTAACCCCTTCATCAACCCCAAATCCCTAATTAAACTACTCACAATTCATAATTGAAGAATCAACAGAATTGGGATAAATAGAAATAATTGTCATTAATTAAAGAATTGAACTTACACAGAATCCCAGGTTCTTGGATTAAACAACGTAAAAAACGTAGATAAACTCGTCCCTAGGCCTCTCTCCAAAGTTCGTAACCCCCAAAAGTGGGTATAGAGGCCTTATTTATAGAAAACAATGATTTCGGGTCGAATTAGGACAAATCGCGGCCAGGCACGGTGCCAGGCACGACCGTGCCTGAGAC